CAGTGTCACTGGCCCTCATATGTGGGATCCGAACCGGGGCCCTCTGGCATCCCAAGCGAGTTCTTAACCATCGCGCCACTCGGCCGGCCCTTCTGTTCATTTCTTATTGCTGGAATTTCATATTAATTTCTTCTTGTTGGATGACAAAACCGGATGATGGTAGAGACGGTAAGCCCACCCTGCTCAGCCTCGGGAGCAGACGAATTCTCAGCTGGTGGATTGGCTGCTTTTGTCTCTGCCCTTCCGTGGTTTAGGGTTTCCTTGGCGTCTGCGTCAGTAATTGAAGTTACGGTACCAACGTTGAGGTGACTGCTGACCTTGGGTCTCATCTCCTTGATTTTCCTTATCTTCTTCATTGCCGTCCTCTCTAGGCTGTCTTTGGTGAGGAGGGGGCCTCTGCGGATTCGTGGTCTATACCTGATACCTATTTGATCTCACTGGTCTACCTTGTTCTCCTGCACCCTGGCTGTCAGCACCCTCCATCGCTTCTTCCTGCACAGGAAGGCTGGAATACTGTGGTCTAAGCCCATAGGGTCTCTGCATGTAGTGATGTGGAAACTGCCGCCTGCGGGAGGGCCGGCACACTTGGGCCTGGCCTTCAGGCGCATTCTCTGATCCCTTGTTCTTTTCCCCAATCTCACTATTCTGGTAATTCTGCTGGTAATTGCGTGGAGGAGCCCTGTGATGTGGTTGGTGTCTATCATGGTTACGGGCGGCAGTGTATTGACTGCCTTGCACCGGAACTCCACCAGGGCCTGTGACATTTGCTGCCTCCACACCCTTTTCTCAAACATCATCACACTCCACAGTCTCTCCATCTCCTACACTGCGAAGGTACTTCCTGGGGTTATTCTTTGTGGCAATCTGGTGTACAAAGGCATTTTTTGTTGTAGTTATTGTTGTTTTTAAGTTTTATTGGGGAACAGCCATGGTTATTGGTTGCACATTGCTTTCATGCTACAATGGCATAGTTGACTCTTTTAGGGAGGGCGCAACTCACAGTGGCCCATGCGGGGATTGAACTGGCAACCTTGTTGTTATCATCACCATGCTCTAACCAACTGAGCTAACCGGTCACCCCCAAAGGTGTGTTTATTCGTGTCATTCCTTTTGATGAGACTATATCCGTTTCTTGAACCATTTCACTGTTCCCAAAACCTTCGTTGTGATGACCTTGTTCCCACCAGCAGGCGCCGCTGATGTAAGGCTGCTGCAGGGAGCGGCTGTGCTGCTGCCGGACACTTGCAGCTGAGGGCAGCTGCTGGATCTCAGCCCCGCTGCTCACGGCTGCGGTGATGGCGGCTGGGGCCGGCTGCGGCTCCGCCTGGGGAGCGATGGCAACTAGGCGGCGGCGGCGGCGGCGGCGGCGCTGCTGCTCAGGACTCTTTGGGGTCTGCTCTCTGCTCCCACTACCTAACGAACTCTACAATTTTGCTTTAATACTTTGAGATTTGCAATGCAAAAGTAGGTTCAAAGTTGTTAATACTTGTTGAAGTGATTATCATAGGTGGAAAAGATCTAAATAGACAAAGTGCCTCTTTGGTTTTGCCTATTAAATCAAATACTAACTTTCGAGTCCCATCTACTAGTTCTCTGAAGGTTTTTCTTGATATTTATTTAATAATTTACATGTTTTTCAAGGAGTTGTTTTGGCAAACTAATGAGAAGATGTTGCTTTTTAAAAAAATGGAGGTATAATTTACATATAGTAAAATGCTCAATTAATTATTTTCTGAGTACCTATTTTCTGTTTGATGCTGTTAGGAATAGGGAATATAATCAGTCTTTGTGACAGGGTAAGAATAGGTCTACTTATTTTAATTTCATCTGTAAATATGTATCTCTAAGGGATAAGAACTTTTTATTATAGTTATAATTCTTTAATATCACAAAATAATCCAGGTAATGTTTGTTTCACTAATCGTCTTTTTAAAAAATACAATGGATTTTGTTAAATCAGGATCCAAACAAGGTCTACACATTGTCTTTGGTTCATATGCTCTTTAATGTATGGGTCCTTCCTCTCCCCCTTTTGTCTGGCCATCTACTTGCTGGTATCCCAAACACTGCTGAGTGCGCCCCATGTATAATTAACATGTGTGATCTCTATTCTCTGACATCTGACCTTTACTATGTAAAATATTTATAGTTTCTAAGTCAAAACAGTGAAATGGGGTATATTAAATGAGTAGAATGAAGAGAAACCTAGCTTTCATCTACCTCTCCTCCTTTATAAATATTTTTATTAATTTTGTTAGTTTACCCCTTGTCTTTAAAAAAACAAAACATAAGCAAGTTGTACAGGTGTGTGCATGCGTGTGTATAGAGGGTGGCCATTTGATAGGGTATGGATGGAGTTTTGATGGGTAAGGTGTACTCATAGGTGCACATTAAGCCTCTTGTGGTACCAGGGGTCAGAGCCAAGAGCTTGTCGCCAGGGCCCCAGGACTGGCTCTCTCCACATGGCCACATTTTGGCATAAAATGTCAAGTGATCCCATAATTCTAAATTTGAACCTGGTCTTCTAGGTGGTTATGAGTTAGATTTGTCAAGGTAAAACTTTAGAACATATTTTATTTAACAATTTGCAAGTTTGATTTATAATTTTTAAATACTTAGACTTATAGCAGGTGGGTTTCCATTTGTCCCAGGCACTGCAATTGTTGGGAACAGGCCTGGTCGCAACAATCTTATTGCCGATTTCCCAAAAGCACATAGAATCCACATACTACAGTGAAAAGAGTACTAAGCCAGGAGCCAAAGGTCTGGGCTCCAGTGTAAGCTACACTTCAGCTCTCTAGCTCCAGTTTCCTGTGTAACCGAAGAGGCAAAAATACTGTGTGTGCCCTGCTGGTGACAGAAGAGTGCAGGTGAGATATTCTCTTTGTACTTATAATTCCATGTAGCCTCTTATAAGGTTTAGGTCAGAAATGGTTGAAAATGTTAAGTGAGTTGCTTACTGCTATAGTTAAATGTAAAAAATAAGTAAATATTACATAATATTAATATATATATACATATATATATATATATGTATATATATATGGAAAAAAATGAGAAAAAACCTGAGAATAGGGGCATCATCCAATTTCATCAGGGATTTGAAGACTATTCCCTCTTGTTCCAACTTGGTGCAAAGAAACTGGAGTACCAGAAGTGTGGCGATCAGGTCCAGAAGACGTTCTCTTCCTTTTATACCTGAAAGTGGAAAACTCTTTTAGGTGTGTTGGAAACTCTGCACCTCAAACTGTGCCAAGTTATAAAAGTTCTGCTAAAGAATCACATTAGCATTAAACCACAACACATTAGCAGATTATAAAACTCTGTCATACTTTTCATGGTCCTTCATTAGCCTACTATTTAAATAAAAAATGAGAACGACTGGAACATGTGCCTGTCATATTATCCTGATGGTTGTTAGGAAACTGAATGAGATCAGAGCTCCCCTCCTTGCCAACTTTAACAACCAGACATGGGTAAACTATGCTGATGAAATTCAGCTTTCTAGGTTCTGGCTACAAATAGCTCAGAAGAGAAAACCTAAATATACAACAGATAAACAATTGATATGGCTGCTTAGTACAGTGTATCAAATTATTTCAAGCCAACCGGGATCTATACTTATTTCTTTGTCCCTTGATCTTTCTAAATAAGGTCATATATGTATCCCTACCAATGGACTTAAGTCCAGTACTTCTTCCTTGTTTCCTGCTTGCCTCTTTCTATAGAAGCTTAGAGCCCTTTCCCCTTACTTTTTAGTTCTCTGCACTCGAGAGTGGAGACTGTCCTTTTCATGAAATATGAGATAAAAAAATTTTAAACCAATTAAATTGTTCTCCTTGATTATTTTAATAGTACCTATAGGTAACCAGCGTTATTTATCCAAATCAAGATATTTTACTACATTATGAAAAAAACAAAATTAAAAATGAATGTTTACATATACCGAATCCAGAAATTGATAACTGGTTTTTATTTTTTAAAGTGCAATTTTAAATCACTTTATATAAAAAATTAGATTTCAAATATTTTTATTTTGCCAATCTCACATTTCATGAAACCAAACTTTCCACATCTATCTTGAAGGGGTGGGGTTCATAACAACTACCCCAGAATGTGCTACTTTGGCTTGTGGATAATTTTGAGCTGAAGGCTATCAAGACCCAGCAGAGTCAGGAAAAGCTTTTGAACACCCACTCCCCTTAATGGCCTAAAAGAAATTAGAAACGGACCTGTCGGACCAGGAAGAGAGCTATTCCAGAGATAACTTTTTCATCTGAGAGACATAGTTGCATGGCAGGGCAAATATCTGTATACTGCTAAACAGACGCTGCCCCGCCTCACCTTCCTGTGAATTACCTCCCCCTTTTTGAGTCCCAGACCCCTACCCCTTTCCTGAGCTCAGTTGCCTGTCTGCCTTTCATCTCTTATCTTTTTGGGGCTCCCATTCTTACGTAATTAAAATCATTTGTATTTCTTGTTGATCTGTCTTTTAGTATAAGGGTAGGGGTGGGGATAGGGTCTCAGCCAAGAACCTAGAAGAGTAGAGGGAAAGTTATTTTTCCTCCCCTACAATCTTCATCATCATTACAGCACACTGATTCATCTGATAGTTTCCCAGGTAAATTATCATTATTTCCATCTAAGATGTTTGATATGTAGCAGCACTGTCTGCATCGCGGCAATACATGTGTTTGATTATGAAATATTTTAAACATACAGAAAAGTAAAGAGAATAGTATGAATATCCCTATCACCATGTAGCAGGTCAACTTTTAACAATTTCCCACATCTGCTTCAAATTTCTCTCTTTTAAAAGAAACAAGATATTATAAAGTTGAAGCCCTTACTTGTCCTCCAAACCATCCCCCAGCTCTTCACAGGTAAACACTATTCTGATCTTGGGATCTCCATTCCCATGACAGACATTGCTTTTCAAAGTTATCTTCAATAGATGCCTTAAAAAGTATTCAGTGCTTGCAATTTTCAACTCATTTTCCAAGAAATACTTAATAAACCTGTGTTAAACTTTTACTTTCTTTTTAGGATTTCTGTCAGATAACTTCTCTAAGAACCCAAATCAGGGGCCGGCCAAGTGGCGCATTGGTTGAGAACTGGCTTGGGATGCCAGAGGGCCCCGGTTCGGATCCCACATATGAGGGCCGGTGACATTGCCCTCTGCAGCCAAGATGCTGAACGGCAGGCAGCTCGACCTGGGGCTGGGCTGCCGTGGGTTGCCGGCAACGGCGTGGGCTGCAGCCCCTGCTTCAGTGGGTTGCCATGGGCTACCATGTGTAGCCAGCAGCCAGAGTGAGCAGCTAGCAGCCGCAGTGAACGGCCGTCCAGAAGCCAGGTGACTGATCTGCCTCGCCCGGGAAGAGCGCAATGATGGTTCCAACTTGGACCAGTGAAGCAACGTCCTCCACAACTAGACTGAAGAACAAAAGGACAGCAACTTGTCTATTCCCCTTCCCCCAATTCCCCAGCACTGTTCCCATTCCCCCAATTCCCCAATAAAAAAAATCTTTAAAAAAAGCAACATATAGAACTGAAAACAAAAAATAATAAAGAACATATACATCTATTCAACAATACCACAAATAATAAAATTATAAAGTACCTAAATAGTATATCAGAGTCATTTAAAAAATAAATTCAGAAGGGGAAGGAAAAACAAAAGAGAAACAAATATGAGGATAAAAGAGAAAGAAAGCTGGATAGAGAGATATAAAAACAAGTCAGAGAAAAAAAATCAGACATCTTGAAACTACACATAGAGGAAAAAAGGCAGAAAAACACATGCATACAGAAAAATACCATGGATAATCTGGAGATATACAGAGCAACACTGGGAAAACCCATAAAGAAATTTCACCTCTTGGTACCTGTGACACCATACTCGTCTTATTTCTCTGCCATTCCTGTTCAGTCTCTTTGCTAGTTGTTGTTCTGTGTAACCACTAGATAGTGGTGTGCCCAAATATGGCCCTACATCCTCTCCTCTGTTCTAGGTGACCCTCTATTTTAGGTGGCTTCATACAAGCCCATGGCCCATGTCTTCAAATACTGCTGGTCTCCCAGTCTTCACAATTCTGACCTCTACCTGAGCTCTAGTCTCTTGTCACCAACTATGGCTTTCTTTCCAATGTGTACCAGGCATGTCAGACTTTAAATATCCAAAACATAACTCTATTAGTGTTTTACCAGGCTCAGTCTACAGTTGATGTTTTCCCTTCCCATACTCAATCCTCCTCTCTCTCAACTGCCCCCACTCAACCCATCAAAGCCTGATATTTCTTTCTCAAAAATATATCTCAAATCTTCCCAAGCATACACTTAAATTTAAAAAAATTAATATTGAGTAGATACAACTGATAATAATATATTTATAGGGTATGAATAATATAATAAATACCAAAGTATGAACTACCCATTTATAATTTTTTAAATAGTAAAATAAACATAACATAAAGGTTACCATTTTAACGATTTTTAAGTGTACACTTCAGTGCTATCACACTGTTCTGTTACCATCACCACCATCCATCTCTAGAACTCTTTCATCTTGAAAAACTGATATCTGTACCCATTAAACACTATCTCCCCATTCCCACCTCCTCCCAGCCCCTGGCAAACATCATCGGCTTTGTCTCTATGGACTTGACTACTGTATGTCCCTCATATAAGTGGGATCATACAGTATTTGTCCTTTTGTGTCTGGCTAATTTCACTTAGCATAATGTTGTAGCACATGTCAAAATTTCCTTCCTGTTTAAGGCTGATTAATATTCCTTTATATGTATATATCACATTTTCTTTATCCATTCATCAATGGACATTTGGGTCACTTCTACTTTTTTGGCTCTTGTGAATAATGCTGCTATGAATATGTCTGTGCAAATGTCTCTTTGAGCCTTGTTTTCAATTCTTTTGGGTATGTGCCCAGAAATGAAATTGCTGAATCATATGGTAGCTCTATTTTTAATTTTTTTGGTGAGCCGCCATATTGTTTTCCATAGCGGCTGCACTATTTTACATTCCCACCCACTGAGGGTTCCAACTTCTCCACATCCTCACCAACACTTGTTATTTTCCATTTTTTGTTTTTGTTTTTGATAGTAGCCATCCTAAGGGGTATGAGGTGGTATCCACCTACACTTTTTAAGAAACAGAACATAGGGCCGGCCGAGTGGCACATTGGTTAAGAGCTGGCTTGGGGCGCCAGAGGGCCCCGGTTCGGATCCCACATATGAGGGCCAGTGACACTGCCCTCTACAGCTATGATGGTGAACAACAGCTCAACCTGAAGCTGGGCTACCATGAGTCGCCGGCGATGGCGTAGGCTGCAGCCCCTGCTGCAGTGGGTTGCCATGGGCCGTGTGTATCCAGCAGCCAGCGTGAGCAGCCAGCAGCTGGCCACAGCCGTCCAGAAGCCGGCGACTGATGTGCCTCGCCTGGGAAGAGCGCAATGATGGTGCCAACTTGGGCCAGTGAAGTAACATCTTCCACAACTAGACTGAAGAACAAAAGGACAGCAACTTGTCTGTTCCCCTTCCCCCAATTCCACAGCGCCATTCCCCTCCCCCAATTCCCCAATTAAAAGAAAAAAATCTTTAAAAAAAAAAAAGAAAGAAAGAAGAAACAGAACATAATCAGTACCTTGGGAGTGTCTGTGAGCTGTGTCCCAGTCCCATTCTCCTCTGCTCCCTCTTAGAAACACCCACTGAGCTGACATTTGTGCTCATCACTTAGTTCTACCAAGGTTTGTAACTTGTTTATACACTGTTTATCTGTGTTGCAAATATGTTATTCCTGTGTGTATGTCTTTTCATGTTTTAAATTTTATTCGTTTTTAATGAAAAGGCATTTCTGATGTTAATGCAGCCTACCTTAATAATTTTTTCCTTTTTGTATTTATTTTTTGCATTAAGAAATTTCTCTCTGAATGATAAATCAAATGTTTCCAAATATTAATGTCTGGGGAATTTGGGTGAAGGTATATGGGTATTCTTTGTACTATATTTGTAACTTTTCATCAAGGTTAAAATTATTTCAAAATAAAAAGTTTTTAAAAATCTTCCCTATCCTAAAATCACAAAGATACTTTCCCACATTTTCTCCTAAAAGTTTTATGGTTTGCCTTTCACACCAAAGTCTTCAATCTATTTGGAAGTGATTTTTGAGTATGTGTAAGGTAGAGTCAAACAAAGTGTACTTTTTCCCTTATTGTCTGGTGGTCCCAGCACCATTGATTAAAAAGTACATCTGTGGTACAGTGCTCAATCATTAGACATGGTCCTTATACGGTCCTTTTGGGTTTTAATGGAATGCCTAAGGTGTTTATCAAGTCTCTCTATTTTGCAGTCATTTGAAACCCAAACTCTGTCTCCCCAACACTGGGCAGCAGCTGAAACCTTTGCTCAGCTCTTGCTTCTTTCTGGATTCCTTGAGGTCACACCCTGACCTCAAGGTTAGGGGACAGCCAAGGACTGAGGGAACTTGTGTGCAGGTTTCAGAGTTCCCCTCTTTCTAGGATTTTTGCCCTTAACTTCCAGTCACTCTGGCAGCCTGGAACTCCAACCCCTATGTCATTATACCATTGAGATCTTCTTTTTCAATTCTAAACCCCGTGTGTCTCAGGAACTGAGAAGTGCCTTCAAGTGAAAAACCAGATCAATGATATGGTTACTTCCCTTCTTTCAAGGACCGCGTCCCCTCCTGTTTCTGCCTGCCTTTTAAATTGTATTCCAGACCTTCAGAGAGAAGCTTTCAAATAGTTTGTCCAGAGCTAGTAAATGTTATTGGCAGGACCGTTAATCAGGTACAAGCTCTTCATTCTAGAACTCTCTCCTCATGTAAATTTTCATAAATCCTTTTTTAGTCTAGTGCAAGTCAAACAGGCGAAGAGTATGCTGACCCTGGAACAGGCCTGGAACCTGAAAACTTTAGAGGAGATGGCGGGGTAGATAGACACTGCTGTTCAATGAATACTGGCTAGTTGTTTAATAATCTTTATTTTCTTTTAGAAAAATCTCTTAACCTAGGGCTAGCTAGCACTTGCCCTTCAAACCACTTGCTTTTTGAGGATGTCTAGGACTTCCTCGTCCATCCCGTTCATTGTCATTAAAAGAAACAGGTCCAGAGAGCTTGAACAGCATGCGCTGGGGAGACTGACTGGTGCTCCCCGAAGCTCTTCTTTCTTCCTGGCACAAAACTAAAGCACAATTCCCAGCTTCTTGCCTCTGGGTGGGACTCTGTGACTAGTTCACGCTACATTTTCTCTCTCTCCTTCCTGTCTACCATGTAGACGATGCCACAGTCATCTTTTTTTCTTCTTTTCTTTCCACCAGAGTAATTTTAAAGACACACGTTGATGATGGCAGAGCCACAGTATGGTCTGAAAATGACTATGTGGAGTGGCACTTCCCTGCTGGCCAATACTGACTTGTGATATGGGCAACAGAGTAATCTTTGTGTTAAGCTGCTTAAGATTTAGATCTTACTAGTCACCTGTTTCCTTTGATGATTAACAAATATAATTCCATTCATATGTAACTTACATAATTATTATATTACTACACTAGTTTACAAAAAATTTATAACCATTAAGAGCATGTCATTTAATGAACAGAAAAACAGTGACTTACCTAGAGATCGAATGCCTTTTTGTTCAAGAAAGCTGTTTAAAATATTTGTATTAAGGTTTAATATATATCCCAATTCTGGCGTAAGTTTCCAGAAGCCATCCTAAGAAGTTAAGAAAACAAGTTTAAGCCACATTCTTGAAATTTTATCCCATAAGAAGCTATGGGATGAATAAGTTTCCAATTAGTTTAATTTAGTTTATTAAGATTTTCTAAAATTTTTATTACTGTAAAATCAAAGTTCTTCAAATACTAGTGACACAGTGTTTTGGGTAATCTCATAGATATTATGGACACTGAGCATCTGGTGGCATTTATAAAAAGTCTGAAAAGAGGTTCATGTGTAGAGATTTTTAACAACAGTATTATGTATTTTTTTCTTCTAGCAATGTTTTGAAGCAATGTTTCTCAGACTTTTATTATTATTGTTTTTTTATTATTATTTTTAAGCTGAGCCATCCTGCCATCTGTTGGCAGCTCAGCGGCTGCTCAACTTGGGCCGGGAATCGAACTGGTGTTACTCAGAGCTCAAACTCTTGAGCAAGCTCTTAACCAACTGAGCCACTCGGCCGGCCCTCTCTCAGACTTTTAAATAGCACCAAACCTTTGGTTCAACATTAAAAACATGTCCTTACGATGTCTGAAACATGCAAATGACAATTTTTTACTAAATATAAAATTATGTTGAGCATGCTATTTGAAACTACCTTCCTTGTGTTCACTGTCTCCCACCCACTGCAGCTAAGAGTCACTGCTGTTAAGGCTGTGATCACGAGAGTGAGGTAAACATCAACATGGGGATTCTAACCTTGAAGCAGACAGACTTGGGGCCCCAGGGGGACTCATATAGGGAGCAGAAAGGAGGATGATGTCATAGGCAGGTGGGCATGTTAAAGGATCTATGGCAATAATTTGAAAATAACAGCAGTGACAATATGAGCCAACCAGCACTGACTAGAGCCAGGTACTGTTCTATCTTTTCAGCCACTCCTGTGGAGGTATTATTACTATACCCACTTTGCAGATTGAGGACACTGAGGAACAGAGAGGTTAGAGAACTTGTCCAGTCACACAGCCAACAAGCAGCACAACCAAGATTTAAGCCCCAGCAGTCTGGCTCCAGGGTCCACAGATAGCAATGGCTCTCCCCGTTTCCTACACTGCTTTCATCACGTACATTCCTTCAGGTGAGGGAGCTGGGCAGCTGTTACCATCTTGTTTAAACCTCAGAGCCACTCGAGGTAGACACTGTTATTATTCCCATTATAAGGATGAGGAAACTGAGACTCAAAAAGGTGACCTGACTTGCCCCAAAACACAAAGTGGCAGGGGTGGGATTCAAACCAAGTCTTATGCTAAATCATGTTGCTTTTGCTATTAAACTACAGCAAAATAAATAACTACAGGTGTCATAGTCGGTCTTGGTACCTTGCAGGAGCTAAATTCATGGGGTGTTTTTTTTTATTAACTTCACAAATGGAACGATTAGCTCTAACACAATCTTACACGTTGACTAACATTCCCAAGGCCGTTTGTGAAAATACTTGGATTATACTCCCAGTACCTTGCTCTACCTCACAACTGGGGCTTTTACTGGACTTGCAATTCATCAGTTCTAGAACCTAGGGGATTAAGGTCTTACCCCATGACCCACTCTGGGAGGCTAATTTTCATCTGAAGAATATTAACATTCACAAGCATGTTACTCTGGCCTAAAGGTTGTAAGTAGATAGATAAACAGTCATCATTGAGCACACCGTTTTGTTCAATTGTCGCCCCCCTCCGCCCCTCTTTTTAAACAAGATTTTCTCAGTAAGGGAAGCAATGTGTTGATTTACATTCTGGCACAAGTCCCTTAACTCACTATGCCCTGCTCACACACAGTTTGATGCCCAGCTACTTTGAGTAGCACTGTTCTAAACTATGAAGCCAATTAACCACAGACACAAGAGAAATAAGACTAATACCTCTGTTTGCAGACTGAAGAGTTCAGTCCAAGGCACAAAATTCCTCCAGCTTTGCTTGCAGACTATGTTGTCCTCATCTTCTAGTGCCTGAAATCTTGCAGTAAAATCTCTTCTTGTTATATCAAATTTTGTCATCCCTTTAAAAAGCCTACTTGCCGGAAATCTTCGTGTTTCATCACTTTGTATTTCAAAAGAATTTTCATCATTTTCTGTTTCACAAAAACCCAGACATGTATATTGGGAAGAATCACTCCAATTTTCATCATTTTCTGTGTCAGAACAACTTAAGGCAGCCAGGCCTACATGTTGGGGAGAATCTGATGATTCTCCCCAACATGTAGCAGTTCTGGCAGGAATATCAAGGTCCATTAAATGTACTGGCTGCTTGTGACTGGTGCTCAAGGCAGCTGGGGAATTTGGGAAATGAAGAGGAGAGGAATCAGCCAGAGGAGGAAAGCTAACCCCTCCTGGTAGAGGAGGAGGAGGAGGAGGAGGAGGAGGAGGAGGAAGAGGAGGAGGAGGAATGCCAACCCCTCCTGGTAGAGGGAGAGGAGGAAAGCTAACCCCTCCAGGGTGGGGAGGAGGTATAGAAGAAAACAAAAAATTCTGCTGTGGAGGAGAATCCAACTCAAAGGAAGGGCCAGCATAACCACAGATGCCATCATCAATTTCAGGTAGATCAAGCTGTCTGGAGCTAAGCGAGGCAGCTGAAAAAGCCAAACCAGGAGAAGAACCAAAAGGTGGCAGTCTGGGAGGAGAACCCCACTCAAGGGAAGTGTCAGTACGAAGGCTAGTCTTCAGGCCTTGGTCATTCTTAGATGGACCAAACTGTTTGGGACTAGCAAGAGAACCAAAAAGAGAGCTCTGAGCAAGTAAGCGGGGAGGATTGGGAGCAGAGCAGGCAGCTATCAAATGGGCTGAAACAGGAGCAGCAAAAGACCTAGGAGCAGCCATTTTTGGTGAAATGGCTTTTGTAAACCGTGCTTTAATTCTTTCGTGTTTAAGTGAATTAATCTGACTTAAATCCAATGGCTTTTCCACATCTCTACGTTCAAAATCAAGTGTTAAAGCTTCTTCTGGTTGTTGGAAACCTAAGCTAAGAAATTCAAAATCTTCAAAAACTTCCACTTTAGATGATTTAAGTTTTCTTTTAGTGAAATGTTTACATAGGAATTCTTCATGCCATTCAGAGGATGCTGAAAGAGGCTGCCCAAAAGAAAAAATTGTGATGTTAGGGAAAACACAGAATAAAATGAACAACCAAGCAAATGTCTTTCCATATAGCTGCCTTCCCAAGAGTCAAGGAACTGCTTATTCCAGGGCGTTGAAAAGAGGAGCTAGTCAAGATCATTTAAGTGAAACAGCCTCATTTTACACATATGGAATCTGAGAGAATGTCAGCGGTATATCTGTCACAGATCTTTCTCTTGGTTATCACAATCACAGAATTTTAAACACCTCTCATTTTAACTGAGGACCATAGAAGTGACTTGCCCAAGATTTTACAACTAGCAGTATCACACATTATATGAATTAGCCCTTAAATAAGTTGACAACTTGAACTAGATTATTCCAGTCCTTTACTGCATTCCAGCTATATTAAGAAAATGAGAACACTGAAAAAATTTTTTCAAAAGCTTTAAAGTAACTAAATGAATATATCTTTATACCAGAATATGAACAAAATATACAACAAAAGGGAATGATGGGTGCTATGTTACTACTATTGTTTGAATATAATTTAAAGAATATTCCTTAAAAAGTTGCATGTAAATAAAATCCAGTTTTATATGAATTACAGGTCCTTGAGGTATTTTGGAATTGGCTAGCCTCTAATTTTACCAATTAAATGAGCTATTTACAAAAAGTAGTCCTGGGCCGGCCAAGTGGCGTGTTGGTTAAGAACTGGCTTGGGATGCCAGAGGGCCCCGGTTCGAATCCCACATATGAGGGCTAGTGACACTGCCCTCTACAGCTAAAATGCTGAACAACAGCTCGACCTGGAGCTGGGCTGCTGTGGGTCACCAGCGACGGCATAGGCTGCAGTCCCCTGCTGCAGTGGGTTGCCATAAGCTACCGTGTGTAGCTGGCAGCCAGCGTGAGTGGCCAGCAGCTGCTGTGAGCGGCCGTCTGGCTTGCCGGCGACTGATCTGCCTCTCCCGGGAAGAGCGCAATGATGGTGCCAACTTGGGCCAGCAAAGCAATGTCCTCCACAACTAGACTTAAGAACAAAAGGACAGCAACTTCTCTGTTCCCCTTCCCCAGATTCCCCAGCGCTGTTCCCCTCCCCCCATTTCCCCAATAAATCTTTAAAAAAAAAAAGTAGTCCTTTCCCAACTCAGTCAAGTTTCAAGTGTACATTTAAATAACTAATATGACAACACAAACATTGCAAAGTAATAGTTAAAAATAATGTTTATCTGATAAAAAAACATGTTTTTAATTAGATAAGCAAACTGAAAAAGAAAAATAGAGATGGGCTAGACTTATTAAAGCATTTTATGAAATTACAATAATTATAACAGATCAACAGAACAGAACACATGGTTCAGCAATGATCCTAAAACATATAGGAATTTAATAGATGATAAAGATGGCATTTTAAGTCAATGGGAGGAAAGTAGAATTACTCAATTAATGGTGTTAGGAAAAGGGGGCAGCCATCTCGCAAAGAATGAAGTTGGTTCTATACTTCCTATTATATGAGGACAGAGTGCAGTTGGGTGGAAAATTAAATGTAAACATGAAACCATAAATCCACTTAAAGAAATAAATAAGGGGAAATTTTTAAAAAGCATAACCTCTGAACAGGAAGATATTTCTAAAAAAAACAAAAAACAAAATGATAGAAAACAGAACCAAGAAACCTAAATGTGACTACGTTAAAAACCTGCATGACAAAAAGATAAACAACATTAAAATACAAAAGGCAAGTCAAGATGGTTTTATATAAAATTTCCAGGAACGTTACTTTCCAAAGCATGTAGCATTCTCCCTATTTTCAAAATATTTAATATGAAAGCTACTCTGTTCTTGAGGATGAATCATAGAAATTGATATTCATCAATTAGATTGACCAGGAACCTCAAGTCTGGGAATGTGACTTGGCTGAAGACCTCATCCTGGAAGTCATCTGTATTCTCACCACACGAGTTTATGCTTTGAGTCTTTAGTGTCAGATCTCTGAAGTATTTTTTAAGATGATTTTTTTCCTTCTGTGCTATATATGAGATCAGTTAATTTTAAGGGTAGTTTCTGCTTTTTCAAAAATTAATTTAAAAATCTGCATACCAATTGTTCACACACTTAAAAACTCAGTGCTGGGACGGCCGAGTGGTGCGCTGGTTAAGAGTTAGCTTGGGAAGCCAGCTCTGAGCAGCAGGGCCCCTATTCGAATCTCACATGAGGGCCAGTGACACTGCGCCCTCTACAGCTAAGATGGTGAACAACAGCTCGACCTGGAGCTGAGCTGCCATGAGTCTCTGGCAATGGCGTGAGCTGCCGTGAGCTGCCGTGAGCTGCTGTGAGCTGCCGTGAGAGGCCGTCCAATGACCCGGGAGCGACTGCCTCACCCAGGAAGAGCGCAATGATAATACCAACATGGGCCAGTGAAGTGATGTCCTCCACAACTACACTGAAGAACAAAAGGACAGCAACTTGTCTGTTCCCCTTCCCTGATTCCACAACACTGTTCCCCTCCCCCAAATCCCCAATTAAAAAAAAATCTTAAAAACAAACAAACAAACAAACCTCAAGCAAGATCATATAAAACCAAAGCACATTTAAATAGCTACTTGTTTTTATATTTTTAATGTTTGAAATGCTTCCTTTGGAATCTGAAAGGAATGCTGTCTTGTGTATTCTACAAGGTGCTATTGACTAGGGTGTTTTTTTAAATCTCTATTTTTTTCCCTCCACCCTCTTTCTGAAGGTAGCTTGAGGTTTTTTTTTGTGTGTGTGTTTTTTTAATTGAGGAATTGGGGGGATGGGAACAGTGCTGGGGAATTGGGGGAAAGGGAACAGACAAGTTGCTGTCATTTTGTTCTTCAGTCTAGTTGTGGAGGACGTTGCTTCACTGGCCCAAGTT